CCCTGTATTTCCGTTCGTAGATGTCGCTGTATCGTGGTAGATATCCCTGTATTCGTTGATAGATATTCCTGTATCCGTGTAGATTATCCCTGTATCCCGTGTAGATATCTCAGTATCCGTTGTAGATATCCTGTATCGCTTGAGATATCGCGTATCCGCTGTGATATCGCTGTATCCGATGTAGAAATCGCTGTATCCGTGTAGATATCGCTGTATCCTGTGTAGATATTTCCCCCCTGATTATTCCGTGTCACTTGTCGCTGCTGGTTTCTTTGTTGCGCTTTGTGACCATAAGCAACATTATTAATCTCTCTCCTCTTCTCCTCAATATCTCCCTGTTTCTCTCTTCCTTCTCTCTCCTTCTCTCGCTCTCGCTCTCCTCTCTCTCTCTCTTCGATCCTCTCTCGTCTTCTGCTCATCTCTACTCTCCCCTCTCTCTCCATGCTCTCCTTAACATTTCTCTCTCTCCTCATACAGTTGATCGCGTAAAGTCGATGGTGCCTCAGACAGATCAGATGATACCGGGACTGGTGGGAGCGTAAGTCGCGGTCAGTCAACACAGCTTCGGTGTGACGTGGGGGGAGAGATTCGTCGTTCAGGGACCTTCGAGAACAGGCGCGTCGAGAAGGCTGACAGCCATCAAGCTGGGCATGAAGTAAGTACTGCCATCTAGTGCCGCCGCACGCAAGTTATAGGCAGGGGCTTCGGCGTGGTGTGAGTACTGCTGCCCATCTAGTGTAGTTGCTGTGAATTATTGCCACTCACGAGCGAAGGTTCGCGATGATACGGACAAAGTGTTGCTTTTTATTAGTGTACGAGTTTGCCTCCTGTACACACAACTAAAACATGTATGCCTTCTCTGAAACCGATGTAGACCGATTTGCTCCTCCGTCCAATCACCTCCTCCTGTTATTTACCAGTCTTGCTTTTCTCTTCATCTGTCCTCCTTCCTACAGCCTTCCTGCTTCCTCCTCCTCCTCCTTCCCTCTTCCCCTCCCCTTCCTCCTCCTTTCTCCTCACACACGCACACGTCATCATCTGCATCTTGCAGGTTCAACGCTGCGACGACACTGCACGTGTGAAACCCCAAGCACCATTATCTCCTCCTCCTCCTCCCCCTCCCCCTTCCTCCCCTCCTTCTCCTCCTTTTCCTCACACACGCACACGTCATCATCTGCTTCTTGCAGGTTCAACGCTGCGACGACGCTGCACGTGCGAAACCCCAAGCACCTCGGCGAGTCACCGACCCACGGTGTCGTCAGCCTCTACTTCCGCACGACCAAAGCCAACGCTCTGCTCGTCTACATGGGTACGGGCGGCGGCCACCAGGGGGAGCACCACGGCGAGGCGGCGGCGGCGGCGGCGGAGCGGGAGGAAGACAGCGAGGACTTTGTCGCGTTGGAGATCGTCGGAGGGAAGTGTGTGATGAGGTTTGAGTTGGGAGCGGGCGTGGCAAGCATCAGCAACGACAAGCTGGTCAACGACGCGCAGTGGCACGAAGTCATCGCTGAGAGGTGAGCGCAGCGGCGGAGAGGACGATGATGATGATGATGGGGATGATGATGATGATGATGATTATGATGAATAAATATGCTAATGACAATGATGATGATGATGATGATGCAGATGGTGATGACGAAGATGATGATGATGACAATGATTATGATGATGATGACGATTATGATGATGATGATGATGATGATGATGATGACGATGATGATGATGATGATGACGATGATGATGATGATGATGATGATGATGATGATGATGACGATGATGATGGATTATGATGATTATGGTGATGATATTATGACAAATAACATGATGATGATGATTTCCGACAATGACGACGATGTTATCACCGCCTCATTGCTCCTCGTGCTTGCAGGACTGGTAAGACAGCGACTCTGACCGTGAGAACGGATGGGGAGGACAACGTGATCGCTGAGGGAACTGCCCCCGGTCAGTTCACCTCCCTCAACCTCGACCCCGAGACCAGCGTCGTCTATGTAGGTGGTGCCTCCGATACCGTCTCCCTGCCCGCACAGGTAAGGTCGGTGGCGCGGTGGTGGTTGGTAGTGTCCGCTCGTTGCCTGGGTTACCACGGCGATGTGCGTTACCTGGGTTACCACGGCGTTGTGCGTTGCCTGGGTTACCACGGCGTTGTGCGTTTAGCAGTGACGTGTGTGTGTGTGTGATGGGCCGGCGCACGAAATGATGCTGCATTATTTACATGCGTAGTTGTTGTTGTTGTCATGGTGATGCATTACGTCACAGTTATGATTACGTCACCATGATTGTCTGATGGTTGTACATGATAGCTATGTGATCTCACATCTTATCTGTATCATACTCTATCTTCTACTTTACTTACTTACTTGGTTACTGATTCACTTACGTGCTTAGATCTTGGAGTAATCATTCTGACTGATCAATCAATCAATCAATTAATCAATCAATCACAATGATTACTCCAAGCTTAGATAGAGTATAATTATCGTCACTACGTTGTTGTTGTAGGATTACTTACGTGCTTAGATAGAGTAAACATCTAATATACAAGTATATAGTAAGTATGTAATTGTAGGTTGCCAATCGCCGCTACACCGGCTGTATTGAGTCTGTCAGCTTCAACAAGCAGCCACTGCCTCTCTGGAACTTCGTCCATGCCGAAAACCTGTTCGAAGCTTGCAAGGAGAGGTATGCTACGCCCTCCCCTCTCCCTTCCATCCCCCTTACCTCCTCCTCCTTTCCCTTCCATCCCCCTTACCCCCTCCCCTCTCCCTTCCATCTCCCTTACCTTCTCCTCCTCTCCCTTCCATCTCCTTTACCCCCTCCCCTCTCCATTCCATCCCCCTTACCTCCTCCTCCTCTCTCCTTCGTCCCCTCTCCCTCCTCCTCTCTTCTCTCTCCTCTCCCCTGCCTCCCCTTTACCTCCTCCTCTCCCCCTCCCTCCCCCCTCGCACATCCTTGTATTCGTCTTTGCATTTCTTTATATTTGTATTACATTCTATTTATAGCCTTTGCATCGATTCTTGCCTCTCGAAGCCACATATAATATCATATTTCATAATTGAATTATCAATCGTCTAATTCATTCATCCACATGGCCTCGCGCGTCACATCTCTCAGCGACGTTCCGTTGTTTTTACGCGTTGCTTGCAGGGATCAGCTGCAGGTGCAGCAGGGTGCATCGGGATACAAGTTTGACGGCAGCGGCTACGTCGTGGTCGCGCGCGGCGACTTCAACCCGCAGGACAGCGCTGACGTCACGCTGGAGTTCAGGAGCTTCGCCGACGCAGGACTGCTCATCTACGGCGGCAAGGACCGAGACTTCCTCGCACTCGAGCTGATCGGTGCGTACAGGGGGCAGCACTGCCACTGCGGGGGGGGGGAGGCGGTGTAGATCGGTGCGTACAGGGGGCAGCACTGCCACTGCGGGGGGGAGGGGAGGCGGTGTACTTTTGAGTTGAAGTCGGTTGAACGTATTGATTTTTTTGATCGGAGATTTTTATTGGGAACAAATTTAGTACTTTTTAGTACAATTTGCATGAACGTGTTATAAATGCCTAACAGTCTTTGTCAAATCTAGTTTCCTACCTTGCCTTCCTAAGATAATATATTATGATACAATGCAATACAATACAATATAATGTGCTATAATGTATTACAGTATAAAACAATAATATCATACAATACAATATAATATATAAATAGCCTCGCTCTGACTCGGCGTTCTCTTCTCGCCAGATGGTGCCGTGCTCTTCCAGTACGACATGGGTTCCGGGCGCGCTCAGATCCGCACGAACGCGACGTACAACGACGGTGCATGGCACACAGTGAACGCTCGTCGCTTCGGCCGTGAGGGGCTCCTCCTGGTGGACGGGGAGGAGGCGGGCAGCGGCGTCGCACCCGGCTCGCTCACAAAGCTCGACATCGGTGACGACGTCTACATCGGCGGCACGCTAGCGCCACCTACGCTGCGCGACGTCACAGCGCGCGGACTCGAGGGATGCATCAGGAACGTGCAGCTAGGTGAGTGCGCCCCCTAGTGGTGTGTGTGTGCGCCCCCTGGTGGTGTGTGTGTGCGCCCCCTGGTGGGGTGTCTGTGGCCTTACTCAGTCTGCACCTCAACCTCAGCCTTCTCTTGTCTCACCTCAGTTTGCGTTTGCTCCTTGTCTGCTGGGGGTACATGCCTGCTAACGCCCAGCCTCCTCTCTACCCTCTGTGCTGTTTATATATGCTAACCTCCTCCCTCCTCCCTCCTCCTCCCTCCTCCCTCCTGCCTCCTCCCTCTACCCTGTGCTGTACGTACATGCTGCGTGTCTTGCAGGCACGACGATCGTTGACATGAGTATCAACAAGGATGCGCGCGGCATCGTCGCCGGATGCCCCGACACCATCGTCCGCGTCGCTTCGTTTGACGGCGCTCAGGTACGTCACGGGGTTAAAGTTCAGAGGTTACGCAGCGAGTAGATAGTGAATTGCGTCACGGGTTAAAGGTCAAATGTTCAACGATATAGTAATACAAGTGGTATATATCGTGGTTGTTGCGATAACGGAGAGTCAAATGCTGAGGTGGCGCCACCGAGTGCGATACGCCTGCACGTAGGGGGCGCTACTAATGTTGCATCGCGTCATTACAGGGCAGCTACACGGAGCACACGGACGTAACGTTTGGTGAACAGGCGGCTCTCACGTTCAAGTTCAGGACCCTGCAACCGACCTCGCTCGTCATGTATGCTGCTGATGCCGGCCAGGTGAGGCGGTGGAGCGTGCGTGCGTGCGTGCGTGCGTGCGTGCGTGCGTGCGTGCGTGCGTGAGTGTGTGTGCGTGTGTATGTGCGTCTGTATGTTTATTGTTTGTCTGTATGCCTGTGTTTGCGTTAATGAATTTTCTACACAAATTCTACACACAAATTTCTCAATCCCCTCCTACTTTACCGTCACACGTGATATGTTACCATTATTCCTACCTTAGGAGTAATCATTCTGACGTAATCAGAGTATAATCATCATAATAAATCAGACATAATCATCTTGAGTAATCAGTCAGAATGATTACTCCAAGCTCCTACACCTTACCCTTTAGACATGTTACATAATTACGGCTACGCGTGCGTACGTTACAGACGCATGCGCTGTCAGCACAGCTGCTGGAGGGTAGGGTGGCTGTTGTACACACCAGCGACGACCTGTCCACCGTGCTGCAGAGCAACAACAACAACTACAACGACGGAGAATGGCACTTTGTCAACATTCTCAAGGACGCAGGAAGGTGAATGGGGTCCGAGGATGGAGACAGGGGGTGGAGCAGGGAGAGCTGTGATGGTGGAGGAAGGTTTAGAAGAATGGGATCCGAGGATGGACACACAGGGGAAACAGGGAGAGTTGTGATGGTGGGGGAGTAGACATAAGGTGGGGGGGAGTAGGGGAGGTTTAGAAGAATGGGGTCCGGGAGTAGACATAAGGGGGGGGGGAGTAGGGGAGGTTTAGAATTCAGGCTCAACCATCCATCTCTACTGGCTGCAAGCTACACACTGGGGTGATGGTGGGGTAGTGGGGGAGGTTTCGAATATAGGCTCAACCATCTATTTCTACTGGCTTCAGGCTACACATTGACATTGACGAAGGCGATCGCAAAGACCAGGAGCTGAGCGATGCCGGCCCCGACCACCAGGCGGCGCTGTGGATGGCCGGCGTACCGACCGATTACGGCATCACAGAGGGCGCTTCACTCACCCTCGCGGCATTTAGCGGTTGTCTAGGCGACATTACCGTCAACTCCAAGTAAGCGATTTGTTTATTGGTTTTGTGTATGGTCGTCCGTGCTTACCTCATCTGTTATATAGATAGACAGAAACGATTAAATGCAAGAGTAGGCAGATTAACTGTCTCTCCCTCTCTCCTTCTGTCTCTCTCTTCCTCCCCCCCCCCCTCTCTCCCTCGCTCTCTCTCTCTCTCTCTCTCTTTCTCTCTCTCTCCCTCTCTCTCTCTCTCTCTCTCTCNAGCAGCAGCAGCAGCAGCAGCAGCAGCAGCAGCAGCAGCCGTGTCCGTTGGTACGTAGTCGGTTGGAGTTAGTGTCGTGTTATAGTGATGGCAGCAGCAGCAGCAGCAGCAGCAGCAGCAGCAGCAGCAGCGTGTGTGACATGGTGATTATGCGTGTTATAGTGATGGATGCGGCGCGTAACCTGAGTTACTTCATCGCGGGGCTGGACGCGCGATGCATCGACGATAAGAACGACACGGACGCCCTTCACGCTCTGCTGCGTGAGATGATGACACACAGCCTGCAGGCGGCAGAGCAGACGCGCCTAGCCCACCACAAGAACGACGCCAACCGCAACAACCCCATACAGGTGAGTGGACGTCGTTACCCAGGTACGCAGGTGTGACGGCAACAACCCCATACAGGTGAGTGGTCGTCGTTACCCAGGTACGCAGGTGTGACGGCAACAACCCCATACAGGTGAGTGGTCGTCGTTACCCAGGTACGCAGGTGTGACGCCAACAACCCCATACAGGTGAGTGGTCGTCGTTACCCAGGTACGCAGGTGTGACGGCAACAACCCCATACAGGTGAGTGGTCGTCGTTAACCTCAAGCAGATATGCAGTTGCCTAAGCTGGTGGTATTTTTTTTTAATTAATGCATTTATCCCCCTGTCTTTTCATCTCTCTTTCTCTCTCTCTCTCTCTCTCTTCGTCCCTCTCTATCTCTCCCTCCTCTCCCTTCTCTCTCTCTCTCT